CACATCTCAACTCGAATTAAAAACTCGAATCAACGAACTAAACGGGCATAAGTGATTTAAGTCTGATTCATGTATAGTTAAGTCGCTGTGATTGATGGAAGATAATATTTCCTGTAAATTAATTGAGTCTTATCCCAACGCGTCTTCGCTGGCAGCTAATTGAGACCCATCAATTATATTAAAACGATGTCAATTCTCAAGTTGTTGCTGTTTAATAAATATAAATTCAATGGACCTGTCATATGATATAAGCTTTACATTTCTTAATAATTATAACATTGATATTTGATGGTCAACTAGACATTATGATATCATAGAAAACATGCGAAGCAACTACGTTTTCTTTATAGAAAAACTAAAATAATTTATATCACCGTGCAATTTTATCGTTAAAAACTTACAAGTGTAACATTTATATTTCAAATAACTTATTTGACTATATAACGTTATCTCATGTTTGACTTTCAATTTTCCCTGCAGCCCTCCAAACCTTTACATCGTTATCTATTCTGCTTTGTTTTTCTTGGTCACTTGTCTTATAAAAGATATTCCTGACGTAGAAGGTGATACAAAGTAAGTTTTATATTTATTATGACATCTAGTATATTTAAATTTTTAAAATTTTTTACATTTGTCGCTTTTTAAACTTAAAAATCTGTTTTAGCTTATACATTCATTATCTTCCAAAAAAAAAAAAATTATTATAGGTATAACATTCGAACATTTGCGGCAAAATTCGGACCTAAAAATGTTGCATCCTTTGCAACAAGAATTATGCTGCTAGCTTATGCCGGTGCTATAGCAGCTACCATTTACATACCTCAGGTAATTTTATTCAAAGGTTACTATATTAATTTTTTTTCCTTTCATTTTTGGTGTCACTATATTTTCCCTTAGTTTTTCTTTTTAGGTTATTTTTTGCAACTCAATGATTCATTAAAGTAAATTACTAATTAATTAGCTCATTTAGTTGGTGTGTGAGTTGGTTTCAATAATCGGTTAAAAAAAGATTCCATCGAAGATTTTTTTATTATTATTATTTTCTCTTCAACAGCTCTTTATTATTATTATTTTTTTTTAGACTAATTAACGAGTTCGTTCATTTATTGTTTACAGGCTTTCAAGGCATACTTAATGTTGCCTGCTCATTCAATCTTTGCCTTATGGTTACTTTTTGAGGTTCGTCATACATAAATCAATAAATTTAATGAAATATTATTTAAAAACTTTGTTAGTAACCTCTTTTGTTATTTTATTTCAGGCCAAAAAGTTGGACAAAGCAAATTATGTCCCGGTAATTATAAATATACTCCTTCAACTCAACTATATGCTGTCCTAATAAGTAATGGACTATTGATATTGATAATAAATTTAACGTTATTGTGTATGCAGGAAGCGGCTGGACGCTTTTATGGATTTCTTTGGAAGCTTCTTACGTTGGAGCTCCTCTTATTTCCTTTTATGTAGTAAATTAGTTGCCAATTAACTATAAGTTTTCTCATATGGGGTGAGGGACAAAGTGAATTGTGTGAGTAATATTGTTAAAAAATAATCACTTATATTTCTTTTAATTTCAAAAAATAGGCATTCGAGACTACTTTTAGGAATCTAAATTTCATAAAGAGATATGCGACCAATGTGTTGTAATTAAGCAATAATTGTGTTGTAATTTATTCTTTTATTTTGAGATGATTTTAATAAAAAAATTTAAGGGTTCACAGTTGTATCCTATGTATTTTTTATGCTACACAGAATAATTCTCCGTCACGGTCATAAGAGTTGTGTTGCATTTGCATATTATTTCTGTTTTTTTTTTTT